TGACCAGTTACTGGCATTTGTAGAATTTTCCTGTAAACCTCCACAGTATGGACAGCTGGAAACAAAGCACATTGCAAATGCAAAATATAATCAGGTAATTTACTATAAATTTTATTTATTCTGTGAGATTTCATGGCTTATAAAAACAGTCAATTCCGCTTAAGGTGGACTTTGATTATCTTGGAAAAAGAATGTTTTTAATTCACATATGGTCAGTTCCAATTAAGATGCACTTTATCTCAGAAAAAGAATTTTCATTCAAAATAAACTTACAGGTGTCTGTTAACAATTTAAGCTGAACAGAATATTATTTGAGAAACCATTTCTGTGTTCATTTCTCCTGGTTTATGACTTTCCCAAGTAGTTCTTCAGAAAGTTTTACCTTTCATGTTACTCTCTAGTACATGTTTCTTGAAAAAGGGTAAATTCCTTGGAACCTTTTTCTTGGTTGCCCTATCTCACTACAAAGCAGCTTTTAAACCCCTAAGCCTAATCTTATCTAAAATAGATATTTACAATACAAGATGAAGAAATATGTGTGTACTGAATAAGAAGTTGTCTATTACTGGTGTGAAATTTAGTTGGATTTTATGTAAAACATTTTTATAGCAATAGTCAAATTTTGACTTCATTTGGGCTTAGGGGAAAAGTCAATTTCTAAATGCATGCATATGCTGATTTTGTTCACCCAACATAAAAAATTATAGTTTATATAGTCCAAAAAGTAGTTTTAATATGTATTAACTTTTCTCATTCTATTTGTCTTGCAACACAATGGAATCACAATAGATCCAACTATTTGCACCGGTGAGTTAAAGTTCCTAAAATTGTCCTAACCTATTGGCAACAAATTAAGTATGTATTTCCCAGTTCTTCATAGAAATGCTCTCTGCTTTTTCCAATAGTGTTAATTTTTGCCTGGCTAAAAATTATTTTTTCATTTAGCACATATCTCTTCAAGAACTTTGCATGTAATGTGATCTGACTTAAGACCAAGGCCTGAACTTTAAGACAAAGCTTTTTTTGTTTTTAAAACAACATAATTTTCTTTAATCCCATTTTTTTTTAACTCTCTGTGAAAATATTACTTTCTAGGCGGAATGGGTAGCCTTGAATTATGTACCATTTGCTGAAAGGTCTTTAGAAGTAGTTGTGGATTTATACCAAAAAACAGCCTGTCAT